TAAAGCCTCACTTTAGGCAAGGAGAGTCAAAAAATACATTGAGCTTTTGGTAAGAAAAAGATGTGAAAGACAGTTGTATGCAAAAATTTTGCTAACCAGTTAAGTCTGCTGTGTGCTGTAAGGGAACCAATCATCACTCTATACTTTTTCCTAGAAGATGTGTTTCCTCATAAAATTTGGGTGCAATATCACCTATTCATTGGTTTGGCAAGAGGGCTAAAGCTTCACAAGGATTTAAAAAAATTATAAAGTCTAAAGCAAATGGGATCCTGAGGACACTTATAAAACTGATTTTGGACAGTATGCCCCTGAGCCTGAATTAACAAGCACTCAGAGGTGGCAGTGGGGATCAGAGCAACTTGTCAAGACAGGACCAGAACAAGTAATGCTCAAGCTTAGAACCTCCCTGTTGTAATTTGGCAGTCTTATTTATGCTGGAAGTCTTTGTAGTTTCTCAGATAGACTCAGATAAAAAAGCTGCTAAAAAACACCACCTTACACCGTTTTCCCAGGTTACATGTTCTGACCGCTTGGTGATAGAGCACATGATCTTCCCTATATCTGCTGTTAGTGGAAAGGGTTTACAGAGTACTATAGTATGCACTGGATTTCTCTTATCCAAACTCCATCAGATAGCATATGAGATGGAATAATATTTTCAGTATTATTTGTACTTGAGAATATTGTGATAGTTAATGCTTATACAGGGCTTAGAAGTTAGTGTTATATTTAACATTCAGATCATGAAAATATAATCATATTTTAGTTTGATAGAATTTATTTACTACTGACAAGAGGTCCTCCTGCTGTGTATGCTGCTTCTGTAAATGAATGTTTGCTTCCTGATATATGTAACAGGTGGTAATTTGTCATCATGTTACAGTTTATCTTTCCTTCAGATGTCTTTCATTGTTTTCAAGTTGGTAGTCTGAGGATGGAATATCCTCCCTTTTCATCCACATTTTGAGTCAACTCATACTCAGCATGACCTTTATTCTGGCTGTGGATGAAATTTTAAAAAGGCACCTATACCCTTTTGGAGAAAGTAATGTGGGCTACCCAGTCACACAAGGCCGCCTGAAAATATTTCTGTAGGTTTGGGCAGTGATGGATTGGGAGCAGCTGCAACCTGCATGTGAGAAGAAAGGATAGAGAGTCAACACTTATCTGGGAGCACTAATGTGGAATGAATGCAATGTCTTCAAATCCAATCACATAGATCATCTCATAGCCAATGATAAAATACACCAGAACATTCTGATATGGTCCTGTTTTCATTTTCACAGTCTGTGTGGAATTTAATTCAAATTTTTGGTATATAAGGCACAAAAGATGCATTGCATTCACTGTGAGCAGCCCATTTTAAGAATATATTCAGTTGAAAAAACCTGAAAGGATGGCAGTAAGACTGATCAAAGGTTTGGAAGTGTGATCTATTACATCTCTTTAGACTCAAATGAGTGAAGTAAATCATAGCGATAGAAATATTGGCACTGAGTGCTTTTTCCATATGGTATTTTGGAGATTGCATAAAATTCAGACATTTTGAGATGGATTTTAAATGGCATAAAACGCAATTAAGTAACACATTTTAAGGAAAATGGGTGACAAATCTGTGCTTATCCATTTTAAAATCTTCCCCTTTAAATACAGAAAATATATTAAAGATTAGGGTCGTAATATAGTTAATAGAACCAGAGGGCAAATAATAAAATATAAAAAAATGATAGTTTTAAAGTCCGAATAGGAATGTTAATTGGGAGGCAGCATCACAGACAAAAGACATGCAGTTTTCTTCAACCGTCTTCAAATCATAGGCACTTAAAAATCTAAGAACCCTATTCCTCACTTTGGTTTTCAAAAGCTTTTGCTTTCTGTCTAAAAGTCAATTACATCTTGAACAGTAGTGATTATGGAATGTACTGTATCCGTATACTTCAGTTAACTGCTTGTGATACATAGGTGTGTGATGAAATACACCCTTTGTATTCATCTGTGCATTATGCATTGTTTCACCTTTTCAGATCTAGGCTATTTCTAACTTGCATTTGCTACTGAAGTTATTTAACCCAGGGCCAACAGGGATAGCCATGGCAGCTTTGGTACTTTGCAAGAAGGCTTGAATATTAAATATTCTGAAGGAGTTGTGGCCTCATGATTTCAGGAAAAGTTTGATCTGATGCAGGAATCCTTTGCTCAGCTTGTCCTCCAAGCCTATGTTTTGCTCTGCTGTTTTGATGCTTTTGGTGCTTAATGAAAGGACTGAGGAGAAAGTTTAACTTACACAGTGCTAAACTTCAGGTGCCTCTACTTTCCCATGGAAACAATACATTAAGATTAGGCACTGTTCAGAAGTTTTAACAGTAAGCCTATTTGGGCTTCTTTCCAAACGAAACCAGCAGTTTAAAGCTCTATTTGTACATGCATTAAATTTCTAATGTTTCATAAAACAACAGTAGAAAGCATGTTATTGACAGTTCATTTCTTGAATTCAGCAAAACTAAAATAAAACATTGGGTGAAACTCAGTCTTCTTTGCAGAAAGATGTTACTAAAACCACACTGCTAGACAATGGCAAACATAGGTTTTACTTTATGAATTCTGCCATTTCTCAAGAAGCGTAAGGGTGATAAATACATCTTATTAAAAAGAAAAACTATGCCTCAACAGTACTCCATAAAGTGTCCTGGGATGCCCAAGCAGCTATGAATTTTGCAAACAGATATAGTAGAAGTAAGCATCTCAGAGAATATAATATAAAATTTCCAATTTGCTTACCTTAATCGGATTACAACTGGGAAATCAATAGGTAAATTAAAACTACTGTTCAGTGTGTTTTTAACTTATTCTAAGGTAAAATTAAGTGATGTAAAAATATAGTGTTGATGTTTGAAGATATCAGCCCATGATAACATCACCCTTCACTTGTGTTGCAAAAGTAATTTTCCTAATATGATAAAATGCAAAGTATTCTCTTCTGCTTGTTTCTGTTGTTAAATCAGATTTTCCTGCTTAGTAGCCTATAAAGCTTGGCAAATTTAGCAACAGTCTCATTATGTGCAATCATGTAATTTGTTTGATCATGTGGAAGCTGCTATTTGAAGCTATGACTGTTCAATTTGCCTAATTTCAGTTACACTTTTTAAACCACATATTCTGAAAGTATGCCTAGGAGTTACCCCTGGACTGAGAGATTCTGGGTTATCTGTAGATCATACCAAGACCCAGGCTTCAACGCATCTCAGGATTGCAGCTTTTCAACATTCATTGCACTGCTTGAATCAGTGTATTGAGATACAAGGGTCATATAGCACCGCATTCGGGGCTGTTTCTGGATGATGTGTTAAGTCATAAAAAACAAATTGTGAACCACTGCTAAACTATACAAGAGAACACTTAACCTCTTTAAAAAAGGCTGCGGTGTGCAGTGGGTAATATGAACACTTAATAGTTTAATTACAGTTGTCAAAGGTAAAATAGACTTAAAGTTGCTTTGTATATTGACACAGAATCTGTGCTTGCACCTACATTAGCATTTAGTTCGAAACAGGAGTGCATGTTGTGGTTTTTTGTTTTGTTTTTGTTTTTCTGGGGCTTTTTTATGCAAGGTTCCCAATTGTTCCTCCTTATTGTATGTTGGGTCATGCTGCAGAGCAATCTTAGCACAGATGGAATTCCTTTCAGATGAAATAGAGGATGGCACTCTAGAAGCACTTGATGTATTCCAGCTATTAATTGGTACTGAGGTCATGGGACCAAGCTAGAGCTCTCTCTGAAGTAACCCCAGTGAAAACATGCGTAGCGCGAACATTCCATCCATAATACCAGCTGCTTCACTCTACAGATCTGTTCCTATTTGTGTCATTTACTGCAGATTTTTTTAAAAGGATCATCAAAGCAGTGAAGAAACAAATATTTTTTTTGCAGTGAAACAGATCTAATTTTCTTGCATTTTCCATATGAGATAAGGATTTCTGATTTATGAAAAATGTTCATTCAGTGTATTTAGATTATCTCCATAGGAACATGTAATAAGGTCCTCCTGAATTATTATGAGTCACTTGTACTGTTTAAAGTCTTCATTTTTTTTCCTACCAAGAGATCAAGTAAATCACTTTTTATCATTTTCTACTTAACACATGTCATGTTATCACTTCACTGATTTGACTTGTGCATTTTCTATTTTGAATGTGACAAGAAGCTCCAGTGTACTGGAATAGGTGGAAATTTCATTAAACAGGTCTATTTCAATATCGGCTTTATCTCATGAATTACAATATCCTGTTGATGAGAAGTGTGTTATTTTATTATTGCTCCTGCAGCAAACCAGAAGTGTTATGAGATGCCAAGGAAAGGAAAAGAAAATCTATCAGGTGTATACTAACAGCAAACAATAGGACGAGAGGATTAAGCTTGAAGAGCGATCACTCATAAATTTAAGAACACTTTTTAAATTCTTTTACTTCTATAAACATATATGTATTTTTACTGAATATTCTGTCTCTAAACTAAAGCTTACTGGTCTTAAGGGTGACATGCTTTTATGAAGTCTGCACCATAACTGTGGTTAGTTATAAACCTGTGTTTTTGCCTTCTGCACCAAAACTTTGTAAGCAGGTTCAGGGTTGCAGGGTCTTGCTGCTGTAGAGAAAAGAGTATGTGAATTTAGTCCTTATGGAGAAAAAAGATCTCTCATTTCATATTATCCAAGGTCTAGTTTAGAAAGAAAAGGAAAATCATGCAACACAACTGCACTGTGAAAAAAAGTACTATAGAGTAATTCTTAAAACGTGGTGCAGTTCTAAATAGTGCACTTCCTTTGCACGTGAATAAATCATCATTGAATACTGCTGAATTTAAAAGAAATAACAGAATCTTACATAAGAGTTGAAAGATTTTTATTTTGATCTTATTTGCTTTTGAGTTTACTGTCAGAAAGCTGTTTTATAAAGTAACGTGGACTGTAAATCACTAAAATCAATATTTATTTAATTTTATAGTGGCCTTAAACTTTCAGACACCGGGAGTGCAAATGGAATTGCAAAATGGAAAATTCCTAGACAATGGTGGTTCTGGCTATATTCTGAAACCAGAATTCTTGAGAAATCAAGGTTCATCATTTACCCCACACAATGTGGGAAGATACAGTAAACCCATGTCTCTGTCAATAAAGGTAAGCTTAGGGTAGGTTTTGGTTTGTTTCATAAAATGTGAAAACAAATGTCATGTATGTAGTTCAGACCTATTTTTATGTATTATTGGTTTGTCATTTTATCCCCATTTCTGGTTGTTGGGAAGTTTAATGCTTTTTTCTTAACATGTTAAAACTGTCATATAGTATCTACTGCTATTTGGATGGTTTCCCATATGCAGTTCACTTATGTTTGCTAAAAATGCGTAGGTGTTCAAAAGTAGTAAGAGTTTGTAAAAATACATGAGTTTTCACGGTGTTATATGCAGAAATGTAACTTTCACTGTGTTTCAAGTGTAGCTGACAAAGGGACTTGTCAGTTACCATTGTGGGGACTGAAATCTGAATAAAAATCGAATGTGCACTTTTGTTGTTACTTTAAGTATGAGTAGTACCACATATACTATTATAATGCTAACTGACAAATGGAAATGTTTAAAGGTACAATAAGAAGATTTATGCTTCTTTTAAATTTCATTATCTTCCCATGAATACATAAAGAGCTATCATCCTAAGATGATATAAATAAGTGTAAAAAGTGTGCTGAATCAATAAGCCTTTGAATTATTTCTACTTCCTACTTCTCTCAAATTAAAATCTGATTTACTTCTTAAAAATATTAGAAATATACCCCCTTTTAAAATAATGGGTTAGAAAAAAACTTATTGAGTTCAAGTAGATGTTTTGCAATTGTTCACTATTTAGAATACATTTTCCAATGAAAAAGTGCTATTTCTGATTACATAGTACACTATTGGCATAAATGCCATTTAATTACCATAAATTTAGTGTATAATTAATATTTTGTTTCTTTCAGAAAAATAAATGGTAGAGATAAAGCATTAGTTAAATACCATTATAAAATACTTACATAATATATGCACCTAGTCAAGAACACTTTAGTGTCCTAACAGTAAATATACCAATTATGAATAGACATTACTGGATGATTTCAAGCACCCATGCATATACAGCAGTTATTTTAGCCCTTATCTGTATAAAGCTGGAATTAATTAAGATGAGGAAAAATCCACAATTGTAATGTGAGAGACAGACAAAATCATTGATAATTGTAAGGAAATTTCTGAATTTGGAAGAAGTTGGAAAAGAGAAAGGCAGCTTTATAGACTGAGGATGCAGACTGAGACTGTAGATTGGGTAGTGAAGGATATAAAGAAGCAACAGCATCTTAACAGCTGAGGGACTGTAGGGTGGAGAGAGCCCCATTGATAAAGTCAGCAGCAAAACCCAGGGAATGGTTGAAGACAAAAAGTCAGGGGCAGCAGTAAAAGGAAAACCAGCTTCTGCTAAGGAAGAGATTGTGAAAATTACTTATCAGAAGCCAAAGATATAAAACAACTGGGGGTCAAATTTCTCAAACTGACTGCAATTGAGTGAAGAATGTAAGTGAACACAAAAATCGCATAGGGCCCAATTTTATGGAATTCAATATCCTTCTTAACATGATGTGCCACAATTCCCATCAACAAGAAGCATACAGCCTTTGAAGCAGAAATACAAATATGCAAGGTACTTCATAAGAAACCTTCTGAGCCTACTGTGTTATTTATTACTCTCTCTATATGGCTCCTTCACATTGGGTCTCAAAAATTAATTGGACCTACGGCTCTTCTCAGTGGCAAACAATGAAAGGACAAGGGGAAATGGGTACAAATTGGAACACAAGAGGTTCCACTTAAACCTGAGAAGAAACTTCTTCTCAGTGAAGGTGACGGAACACTGGAACAGGCTGCCCAGGGAGGTTGTGGAATCTCCTTCTTTGGAGACATTCAAGACCCGCCTGGACACGTTCCTGTGTAACCTTATCTAGGTGTTCCTGCTCCGGCAGGGGGATTGGACTAGATGATCTTTTGAGGTCCCTTCCAATCTCTAACATACTGTGATACTGTGATACTGTGATTTTGGTCACTGTGTGCTGAAAAAAATTCCCTCTTTTCCTACCCTGTGGGAAATATAGTTAGATATAATATGGCAGTGGGGTAAGATTGAGAAGCAGGACTTGGGCAATATGTCTGAATTTTCATCATGATATTTGAGCATGTCAAAGGGCCTCTGCTGTAAGTGGGCAGTCCATTAGTGCTTGGATCTTACATACTGAAGGTGTTAGCTGCTTTCTGGAAAGAAATGGACAGCACCAGGATTTGCTAAGCCACTGTGCTTCAATATTTCAGGCTAGAACTTTTTTTAGAACAAGGTGATACAGAAAATACCCAAGCAAAAAGTAGAATCTGTGGGGTTTGAATTTTAGGTGGTTGACAGGGGAACAAGAAACTGTATCATGAATTTTGATGCTTAGTCCTGAGATCTGGACAGCGAGTCGGATCTTTCACCTAGGCTGGCAGGCTTGTATATCTCTCTTGATATATTCCATGTGTTTATTTCTAAAAGCAGATTGCAGTACAGATGGTTATTCTCTCCTAGATGTCCTGAACTGTAGATAGAAAGCAGAAAAAGTTGTGACTTTCATAAATCCTTTCTTAGGCTGGGTGCCAGACTACAGGGCAGTGCGAGGCAAAATTTCCAGGGAGCTAACTAAATTAAGGAGAAAAACATCAGGGAGCCTACTAAATGCAGAGGTTTTATACGTTACTGTGATAGAGAAGGAACACAGGTAGGGCAGTCTGCTACATACCCTGTAACATAATGCTGATGTTACTGTGGGTGTTAGTGCTGGTCCACTGGACACAGCTTTAATAAGAATTTATGAGCTTGATCTCAGAAAATCCAAAAATCATAAGACTGATTTCCCCAACATTATTATTTTGCATGGTAATCAAGTATAATTTTAACGACTAAATATTGAACAAAAACTTAAACCAGAAAATTTTTCTTTAAAGCATGGTATCAGATTTATTTATCTATTTTTTACAGTAAGGGTGAGGAAGCACTGGAATATGTTGCCCACAGAAGTTGTGGCTACCCCAACCCTGGAAACGGTCAAGGTCAGGTTGGATAGGGCTCTGAGCAACTCACTCTAGCTGAACATGTCCCTGCTCATCACATGGAGGTGGGACTGGACAACCTTTAAAAGTCAGCTTTTCCAACCCAAACTATTCTATGAAATTAGCCAAGAATTAAATTAAATGGGAAGCACCATATTCTTAATCTCATTGCCTTTAATATGTATAACATCTTATGGCTGGTATATGCTTCTTATAGTAGTTTCTGATGTAACAGTTTTTGCTACTATGACTACTACATGGCTACTACTTAAAGTTCATTCTTAGAGTTATTTCAGTAAACTACAACTTTAATTTTTCAGCTCATCAGTGGTCATCAGTTACCACCCAGTAACATGGCGAAGACTAACAAAGCTGACCCTTTCGTGCAGATAGAAATTTATGGTGTTCCAGAAGATCAAAGAAAAAAAAAATCTAGTGTTATAAGAAGGAATGGTAAGCATCAGTCTTACTCTTTTGACTGTGAACAAAGCATAATGTTTTATAATGAATTACCTTTTTTTTTTTTTTATCTGAAGAAGTTGTTACGTACTGATAGAGACTGCCACTATTTTTCTCTAGACTAGGATATTCTGGCACAGAAACTGTAGCAGAAGTTCATGCTATGTTCCATTTTTGTAGACTAGTAGGCTAAGGAAGCATGAACTCTCCTAGTTAGTAGTACTCTCCTGCAGGAAGTTAGAATGCATTGTCTTTACTCACTGTTGTGGGCTCACCCTGGACAGCAGCTCAGCCCCACACAGCTGCTTGCTCACTCTCCCTCAGTGGAATGGGCAGTAGTGAGAAAACTCTTGGATTGACATACAGTTTAATAGCTAATGCAAAAGCTGTGCATTCAAGCAGAGCAAAAGAATTCATTCAATGCTTCCCGTCAGCAGGCAGATTTTTAGCCATTTCCAGGAAAGCAGGGCTTTGTCATATGGCTACTTGGGAAGACAGACACTGTGAATGTTTTATCTTCCTCCTTTCTCCCAGCTTTTTTTATGCTGAGCATGATGTTCTATGAGCTTGGGATCAGCAACTGACTGATCCCCTTGGTCAGCTGGGGTCAGCTGTCCTGATTGTGTCTCCTCTCAACTTCTTGTGCACCTCCAGCCTCCTTGCTGAGATGGGGAGGGGGGCAGTTGCAGCATGAGAAAGAGAGAAGTCCTTGACACTATGTGAGCACTGCTCAGCTATAGCTAAAACACTGGTGTGTTAGCAACACTGTTTTGGTCACAGATCCAAAACATAGAACCATATGGGTTGATATGAAGAAAATTAACCCTTTTCCAGCCAAAACCAGCACACAAATTGTTAAATTTAAAGAAATTATTTTTCTGAAGTTTCTGTGACTTAACCACTTAGCTCATATGAAGTTTCTAGTAGGACTAGTCCCTTAATTGCTTGACAGTGTACTCTTTGTAGTTGTCTTCGAGTATTCACTTACCTTTATTATATAGATATTCTTTATGCCTCAGATGAAAAGTTCCCTGTGATCTCTTAGAGTTCATGCCTTTATTTTTTTCCTTTTTGTAGATGTCTGCTGCTGTTTTAAATTGGCCCCTGAATTTCTTTTCTCAAGACAAAGCACCTCCCTCCTTTTCCACATACTTTTTTTGTATTTTTAGTCAAGTGATAGCTTTGATACCTTAATTTGTTTAGCTCCTGTCTCATTTTCAGTGCTGTAAAAGGAGAAATTTTGGCAAAACCATGAAATTGGTATGGCTATAGGAAAGTTTTAGTTGACCAGAGGCTTTTAACCTGGCTATTGGTCCAACTTTACTCTCTTCTGAGATGACAGTAACTTTCTTAGGCTTTTGATTTACACTATTATGTAGCTAATATATGACAAACTCTTAGAAGGGGCTGGCCTGCAAGTCTCAAGCTCTCTATGTTTGCTTCATTCTGAGAACTTACATCTGATAGTCCACAATCTGCACAAAAAGTATGACTTACATGTTGCTGCAGTCAGTGGAAGTCTCATAATTTGTTTAAATGGGCACAGAAATCTAGGGAAAAAGACTGAATCTTTACCAGTTCAGACTATTGATAGGAGGTACAGTAATTCAGGTATTAAGTAGAATGAATGCAATAGTATTTTGATACAGCATATTTTCTCTTTTCATCAGCTTTGAGCCCTAGATGGGATGAAACTTTCTCTTTTACTATCCAAGTTCCAGAACTGGCATTGATACGCTTCTGTGTGGAGGATGAGGTATCTCTGGGTTCAAATGAATTCCTTGGTCAATACACTTTACCGGTGCTCAGTCTGAACAAAGGTAATATTTTCATATGAGACACCTATAATGACTCAAAACAAAAAACCAAACCCCCAAAACTGAAAAATAACAGTATTTCTGGCTTTTATCATTAGTGTAAGATTGTTAGATGTTTATGTCCCAAAGGAGACTTGCACAACCATATGTGAGAATTGCACAACCATACGTAAAAATTGCACTCTCTTTTAAGTCACTGTAGTCTCTGAATGCAAGTACACAGTGTAGAAATCAAAAGGATATTAATGACATTCAATAATTTCCACTGCACTATTCCATTTTAGATAACAACTTCTCAGATGGTATTTTAACACACTGCAATAGGAAACAGGAAAAGAGATTAGTCAGAAGCACTATAAAGGCAACATTTTTGTGCACTTTCTACTCAGGCTCAAAACCCAATACAAGCAAAATTAAAAAAACCCTAAAACCAAAGCCAAAACCCCAAATCAACCAAAAACTAAACCCCCCGAAATGCTCAGGTAACCAGGTAAAAATGCTCAATTTTTCAGAGTAGAGAATGAAGAATATAAATTAAGGAAAATATTTGTGGTATTTTTTGTTCTAGTGTTTGTTTTAGTGTACAGCTTCTGGAGTTGTACATGATTAATAGGCAGCACATAAAGAGCAGACACAGAAGTCAGCAGGCCAAGGAGAAAAGCTTATGTAAAATGGCTACTTACTATATTGAATTTCCAAAGCTATTTCTGACAAAACAAACAACCAACTTTTATTAGTGAATGAAGATGTGAAGGCAAAATGTTGGAACAGGCAACCGGCACTGTGCTTTTTATTAAGGTTAACAGGATTTTTAATGGCTTTTTCTTTCCAGGTTCTGAAATCATAAAGCTGTTTGTGATTCTTAGCTGAGGTTAAGGAGTTACACAAGAACAAAGACATTACTCTTAAAGCACACTTTTTTTTTGTTTTTTTTTTCCAACATAAATCTTTACACTGATCACCTTTTACTTTCCTTTTATTTATATATTTCAGATTAAAGATTAAGACCCCATGCCAAATCAGGATGTCCGAGACAAACCTATGTAGCAGACACTGAGGCTTGCATATGCTTGAAAAAAACATCAATTTGTCTCTAATGTGCCTGTAGCAATTTCAGTCAAAATTGGGAATTCATGTTTTGAAAATGTAAGAGCAAGCTGATTCTACAGGAAAGGTTTTGAGTGCAGCACTTCAAAATGCTAGAAAATGAGTATATGTACAAAAAGTATAAACAGTGCCAAACAAATTGCCCAACCCCCACTTAACACAACATTAAAAATATAAGATGTCCTGAAGATGCCCAGAGACATAAATAAAAATGCTTCTAAGAGATGAAAATGACAGATAATTGCAAAATTTATCGCAATGCTTAACATTGAGACCTCTGGATTCCAGGTCTGCAACCATGGATTTGCTTCAGGTACCTAAGTAGTGAAAAGGGAAAATGTGTTTACAGAGGGAGTCACAACAGCCTAGACTTCTTAGGGAAAAACAGTGTAAACCATGCTGAAGAGTGATTTAGGATTTCAGTTTTACTCTTCATGGCTCCAGTTGCTTTAATGTTTATTACAAGATTGAGCCTTCTTCCCTGGGATTCATATCCCTGAGGGCAAGTTGCTTCCAAAAGCTGAGCACTGCTTACATCTTTATTTTCTTTGACAGGCAGTGGGACAAAGTTGTGCCATTGCCACCCTCCACTGGATTTTCTCTTGAAAGAATTCAAATGTATATCATTACTGCTTTCCTTTACCCAGCAGCAGCCTCCCAGCTCAGTTGTAGCATACACTGGGGAAGAATGCTTGCTGCCTACACGTACCAGTATTTTATTTTTCATGCAGTGATTAAGTAGGTATGCTCTGATTAAGTAGGTATACTCAGAAGGGCTGAAAGTGAGAATAATTCTCTAACTGAACGGTCTTTAATCTTTAGCAAGAGTAGTGGGGTCCTGAGTTACAGTCCCTGTTTAGTGAGTCTGCCATGTAGACAGGAGTCCAATTATTACTGCTATTACCATTGGATCAATTAACAGTTAATTATTTAATACTATTAAAAAATTTTACTCCTTTCAGAATGCTTTGGAGAATATTCTCTAAGTAGGGGCTAGAACATGGTCTTTAGAAATGAGTCTTTGTCCCATCTTTGGATAGGAAATAAATTATGTCTTCTTGATACTTCTGAGATCAACTTCTAAAAGTTATCTCAAACGCGTATTGCCTGGCCTTGGCTTTAATATCTGCTGCCCAGAAGATACTTACTTAAATAGCTGCAGTTACATATACACAGATAAAACATAGAACATGTTTCTTAATCAAAAGTTACATTATTATGATGAAATAATAGACATTTACAGTGTTCTAAAGAAATACAGGCTGAGTTTTGGAGAAGGGTTTTTGTTCTTTGAAGAGGTAAATTAAGTGTGAAGTTGAGAACTATAGTTTCTCCAACTGCTTTGACAAACAGATTAACATGTAGTTTCTGAGGCATGCCTTATTTCTGATACTGGGAATCACTCATATATAAAAAGAGATGCTTAACAGACTTAAGATTTCATGGCAGAAGATCTTACATTACATTTATTTTCTGCCTTTGCTGGACAGTTCTTTACTGCTGCAACACCGTTCTCCTCTAATGCACTAGCACTCTTGATTCACAAGCTATTTAATTTGCTGTCAGAACAATGCATGCAGCACATATCTTTGGATGTTAAAATGCATGCTTTCTCCATGATTAAACATCATTGAGCTAAAAGTCTTTAGTTTGAAAAAAAACACCACATCCTGAAATACACTGGAGTTTTTCACTATGTGTCGAACATACCAGAATTTAAATACTGCAAGTGTAGAGGAGAAAACCATTAGAAATGGGATATGGGCTTTGTATAATTTCAGTTTATTTTAAAGAGTTATTTAGAGAATCACAAATTATTCCTTATTTGCACAGATCATAAAACCACTCCATCTTAATCTTTGTGTTTGTGGTTAAGACGCTAATAAAGTGTCATTATATTTACAGGTTACCGTAATGTTCCCCTGTTGGACAAATATGGCACAAGTCTCAAACCTGCATCACTGTTTGTTCATATATGGTACTACTAACGACAGTCTGCAGTAATAGTTCTGAATGATCACTCCCTTCTCAATAAAGCAACATCACCTGGCTTGCAACAACCCAGTGGTCTAGTTTCCAGAGTGGTATGTTCTTGAGGTTTTATTAAGCTAATGGGACTTCTTGTGTGAGTAAATAGTATCCTGAATAAGTAACAGATACTGCTGTTGGCTCTACCATTACTCACACAGACTGGACTTCTTTGGATATTTTTTAAATTAAGTTTATTTCACTTTCAGGTAGTTTCAAAATTATGATTAATTACTGAGACGAATCGTATAATATTTATGATCTGAGACTGCAAAATTTTGAGCACGTTACACTGACATTTTTATTTGTATTGAACAAAATTTCTTACCATTGTATCTCTCTAAGAAAACAGGAAAAATTACACATGCTATGTACCCTTTCTGTTTGGGCTACGCCTATGTCCACTGTAATTTTGCTACCTGGGAAATAGTTTTGAGGAAAAAAACAGCTCTTAAAATGATAAAAACTCGGATGCTAATATCAATACCTTTTCTCAGATTAGTCTTCAAACCCCTGCTGCTAAAGACAGACAAATAATTCACAGACTGATTTGTGAAGTGCTATGTTCCTCATAACAGCAGGGCGCTCAGGATACATCTGACTGTGAACTCAGGAAATAGGAAGTACAATGCTTTGAGGTGAATTAGAAGAATTTTTGAACAGGCAAGGGCTGATTGTGTGACTTAAGTTCTCTGAGGACAACTTCTTGCCTGATATAGCTATTGGTGTAGATCTTGCCCATAAGACACAATGTTCCCATCTTCCTCACAAAACTGAAGCCCTGTTGAGCTTCCATAGGAAAGTATCTATCCAGTTAACCACAGCTTTGTTACTCAAACGTGGGGTTTTCTTTTAAAGGATGCTATTTTGATAGGTTTATTTCTTTAATACTGAAAAGCATTGCTGATGTTTGCAGACAGTTCTAATAATATTACATTTTAATGCTCTTTTTATTTAATGCCATTTTAATGTTATTTTATGTAATGTTGCTCTAAGATGGAAAATCAGGGCACACAGTAAACAATGATTAGAAAATGTCACAGGAAATAAGACTATTAGAAAATTACATTATAGTTATAATAAGGAAACCAAGATAGTAGACTAAGAAGATGCTAAAATCAATATTGAGCTGTAAGGTCAGGTAATTTGATAACGTTTAATCTGGCCTCAATGTGTTTTCTGTGCTTGAGTGACAAGACACTTGATTCTTTACCCAGGAAAGCCTATAATCTAAAATGTCAGAATTACTGATCTTTGTAGTGATCATATTTGTATGCTAGCCAATATCCCTTTCATGTAGTAAATATTTTATATCTTTTTTCAGCTCTGAAGAATATTAATAATATTAATATTCAAGCAAAGTTCCCCACAGCTCTCTTTACTGAGGAGTTTAATACACCAGACTGCCTGGGGAAATTATTCTTAGGTAAAAACTGACCAAGTGACATGGTCAATTGGTTTGATGCTGAGAAAAACTCCAGCTTATTTAGCTTCCTAAATAACATTCTGAGTGCCATTTCAGAAGCTTTATACAACACTACCTTCTGAAGACTTATTTGTGAGTATCCTTTGAGAGAAGAAGGCAATTACGTTCAGCTTCTGCCATTACTATTCCTCTGTTAACCACTTTTCTACCTGGTAGGACAAATGTCAGACCTTGTCAGTATATAGAAACTTAAAATTTTACAGCAGATCAGATCTCAAATAAACATGTCTCCTGTGCCTTAAAAATGTGCCCTTCATCCTGGAAAGGTACATATACATGGTCAGCTATGTGTGTCTAAGAGGCTGGCGGTAATGGACAGTTCAATCTGGCTGCTCACATGCTAAATGTTTAAAGATGTGCTTAAGTGCTTCCTCAATTTAGGTAAAAATGCTTTGAAGAACAGAGTCCATAATTACCTCAGTGAGCTCAAAGGAACCACTCACATTCATTGTTTAATATGTATATGTACGTTTTATAGCCCTGAGGTCAATGCATGTATTGACTTGATTCCCTTACGCAGCAGTAAGAATGAAATACACTAAGACTGGTGAACAAAGATCCCTTAGAGTGTAATCTTTAACAAATACCACACTGAAAGCTCACATTCACTATGTTCTATTTGTGATATTAGCTCCTGCCTTCTCCTGTCTTCCCACAAATAACCAGTTACATCTGCTTCTTGAATGACAGAATAAAAGAAATAATGACATATCAACAAATTAATATCCTGAATTGAGTGGTACTACATCAGAAGTTAAAAACGCAGCAACATATATTGCCCAAAATGTGTAAAGTGCACAGTTTTTATGTTCTTTTTTTTTTTTTTAAGTATTGATTGTATAAGATGTAATGTAAAATTTGCCAGACATCTGAAATGCATTGGCACCCAGGGAACCATCCCATGGTTCTCTGGTGAAATCATTATATGCAGTGGGGTCATAGAGAATGCTGACAAATTACACCATTATCAGCATTGTTTCAACACAGTAAATTAATGGGCAAAGAACTAGGCCCCACACTTCAATGTGTACAGATTTTAACATTCTTAACGTACTACTTAATGCAAACAAAACAAAAACCTTTATTGCTGTCATAAGAACTTCCTGCATGCTGCTACAGGTTCCTAGCATGTGATTTCTTAAACTCACACTGACAGGAATCTGTTGCAGGAAGATGGTAGCAATTTTAAGATAATAGCCTTATGATTAGAAATGTTGAGGTATGTGATCAGCAGATGACTGCATATTCTCAAGGGCAACTGAGACAAAATGTGCCGCGGGAAGTGGGATAAAGAAACATCAGTGGATAAATAATTGAATTATCTCAGAAAACATTTAAATTACACTGTTTCCCAGCGGATACCACTTTTCTTCATTTAACTGGACACTGCTCAGTTGAATGTTAACAGCTCCCACAAATGTTCCTTTGCTTTTCACAACAAGCTTCAGTATACAGCCTTGGAGCTCTGTGACTTTGTCATACACAACCTGAAATAATATACAGTGAAATAAAAAAAAAACCCAGAAAACAGTTATATGAATTTGTAAATCTATTTGTCAGGTAAAACAATTACTTTAGTACAGCATTCAGGATAACCAATACAACTTTGTGAGAATTGCTTTGAATTGCCGGCCATAATTATAAACTACTAACCATCAGCCAAGTTCACTTAACTCAGTGAATTTACCTCAGAAATATATTTGACCATATGTAGTTTATATGAAAGAGATCCTGCCAGTTTAGCCTTGTGAAATCTGATTACCAAGCATTTGTGAATAAAACTGAAACCTGTGTTGCACAATGCTTGAGGAAAAAAATAGGTGTATGTAATTTTCCCCATGAAAACTGAAACCCTAACTTAAGCAGAGTTTTGAATTCAAATGTGAATATCAGTTCCTTCATGAAGTTCACCAGAAAATGATAGTACAGTTGATTTTCTGGAGAAGAGATTCAGGTGGAAGGTTCTCATCATGGGCAGCAGCATGAAAACAAAAGATAGCTAATTCTGCAGAAGTGTAGATTATCTTTTCATAACAGATGCTTTGATAAATGGCATTGCTCTTCTGCAAAAATCAGAAAAAAACCCGAGGAAAATAGTGCTGATGTCAATTTTTTTAACCTATGTATGTTGCATTTGTTCATTAGTAGTACCTTAAATCAACTTTCTGTTGCATTGATATGTCTTATACAGGTGTATCACATCAATGCACAGTACCTCAGAGTTTTTCCTCAGTACTGTGCTTGCGATTAAACCTTGTGCTACATACCAGAATTAAAAAAGATCAAGCCAAAGTAAAACCATATTTCTCTTAAGCAAAATTTCCATAAAATTTCATAACTGCTCTAGATCAAAAAACCTCTATAAATTTTACTATTTCAATACAAATTACTTTATGCGTGATTCTGGTTGCTAACTGTATGCCCATTATAAAAATGCTTGCAGTTTTTAATGGGGTTGTCAAATATTAAACATGACAGAAAGCTCATCCCACTCAGTAGAAGTTGTAGAATTCGAACATCTCTTTATTTGGACCCAATTTAGCAAGTGGAATTTACTAAATTTAGATGTTTCTGTTACTTGACTAGTGCTGTTAATACTTCTCAAATTAAATGAGCCAGCTTGCTTAGCATTTCTTTAGAAGATTACTAAGTCCTATAGTTTTTAAAACATCCTTGAAATTGCCTTAATACTATGAGAAGATACTGAGGTTAATTATGAAAGGTTAATGGTGTATTTCCTGAATTTTAAAAAAAACCCAGTCTGGAGTGGTAGGCTAACAAGAACAAGCTGCATTCAGAACAGATTCCTACATTTCAGTCTCTGCATTAACCAAAAACTGCTGAGTGAACTGCGTGTGGGTTGCTAAAATGTGAAAGAATGCTCTCAGCTAGTTTCAGGCCTGAAAGGTAAGCTTTGTTAAGGGAAGTACATTTAATCTAAAGTTTGTATGGCTGGAAATGATTTTCTATTTTAGTTGCAATGTAAAATGCTTTAAATTTTAATCTCCCTGTGCAGTTTAGAAAGCAAACACAGTGACATACTGTCACTTCAGGAGAATGGGAAAGTGAAACTGCCTAAAAGGTGTTTGCCAGTCAACCTGCTTGGATTTACTCTGCAGTTCGAATGCAGCTTGGGTTTCTACCTTGGACTACTGAGACCTCTGTGTACCTCCAATTATAGGAAGCAGAAATGGCCAAGGGAGATGTTCTGCAGACAGGCATAGAGTTGACAGAGGCTCCACGTCAGCAATGCTCCTCTCACTTCCTGGCAACACAAAGGTTGCTTCTGAACTTAAGGAGTGGATCATTATGGCTTCGGCTGCCCTCGTGGGACTGCAGAGCGATTCTGTCTGCACAGCAAGCTACAGAGATGTTGCAGAGAGGGCCAAACTGAGCAGGACATCAAGCTATTCTGTCAGCAAGCACAATGGACAGGATACCAAGATACATGATATAAGTGGATCATCAGTGCTGTGTGGATGAACACTGCCATAGGATGGGGGGGGGGGGGGAGAAAAACCTGCCCCACTCACTCTTTTTAACTTGCTTTTACTAGAGAGGTCTTATATTTCCTTTTCCATTTATAAACCTTTGTAAAACATAATTTGGAATAGCTTCCATGAAAGTCACACCCAGTGCTTTTCGGTGCTGATGGTTACCACATACCAAACTGTATGTAAATGAAAAATTCCAGCTTCTCTGTTCCCAGTGGCATCTTCCCATCAAAACCAAAGTGAAATGATGAACAAAAATTCAAAAAGCAAGGACAGGTATAAGATGCAATAATACAGTTTAGGATAAATCTATGATTTGATTACTGAAGTGATACTAAGGTTACTGTAGAAAGATGCCTTAATATCTTTGCCAATATAATAAAGATATAATCTTCAGCTGTTGCTTGAAATCAGAAAAAATGTACATGTAAGCTGTAAGAGTAAAGAAATCTTCAGTATAGTAGATTATAACAGGTGTGAACTGGGGAAATTAACAAATTTCAATCTTTGGACAAAAGGAAGCTTTAAACTTCGAGCAGTGACATACCTTACAGTGCAGGGCATGTAGTTTTCAAATGATCCCTAACAACTTCCTAAAATGGTGTTGCAAATTCAGCTGGAGTAAGGTATAAATCGTTAGGATGTAGGGACAGAAGAAAGGTCTCGAGATAGCTGAATTAGTATGTGGATAAAACAGGCAGCAGCATTTCATAATCAGAACAGTTAAGTACTGAAATGATTGTGTACTAAGAATCTTTGCATCCTATTTATATAGCCAGATCAAATGGAGGTGAGTTATATGTGGCCATGCAGCAAATCAGTGGGACAGTTAAGGCTGGAATTCAAGAATACCTGGCTCCAAAAAGAGTACTGTTGACCTACAGGAGTCTAATGACATTTTAATTGTAAATGTGGGACAGTTGCTTCTCCTTAGGTAGCCATGGCACAGTTCCTAGATTTGCTTTTAATTGTCCAAATTATCTTTGACACATGGTGCTGAGGGAGCAGCTGTGGCTCCTGGTGCAGTTCTCCCCTCCTCTTCCATCAAGCTTGCTGGGGCTATTCTGGGTGTTGCAGGCCAGCATCCCCTCTGCTCCAAGGGCAACTGCAATAACACCAACACGCAAATGTGTCCCAGGTATATTTGCTCACATTTGGCCACACCCCAAGGGCAGGACTGAGAGAGGTCTTTCTTGTTCTGACTTCATTCTGGCAATACACACTCTGCTTTGTCTTCAAGGTTTGCTTATTTTGTGGGTGTGTGTACAAACTGGGGATAACTGAGACCTTGAATCATGTCTCGGGGCAAATGCTACATATATGAGCAAGACCCCACTGCTGTTGGTTCTGACCATTGCAGCCTTTCTTGGCAAGAGTTTAAGCTTAAATCATTCAGATTTATCTTCAGTTTTTTTACTGTCTTTTGCTACTCTGGAACCTCCTGAGTAACTCTTATGGATTCCTAATATTGATCTATAAACAAGTATATATATTTTTTTCTCTTCACATTGCATTCCATTTTCCTCTTCTTCTCAACCATCATTTTTTAATGCAATGTTAGACCAACGTGAATGCAACAAACTCCCAAATCCAAATAAAGGAACAAGAAAAATAAAGGAGTGCTTGCTCAAAGCAACTCCAAAACATTTGGCATAGTTCATCCTACTGTCAGCCCTCCTGGACTTTCACATCTTTACTCTTACACACATGAGTAAAAATCATAAAATGTACTTTTGCAAGGCTGATAATGTGCTGTAGGCAGTCAAAAGCAATAGAAGTACAAAACTGAAACCAAAAATACCCAAGAGAAACACATTTCAGATTTTTTTTCAGTCTCAAACACAGAAAGAAATTAATATACAGCTTCCTTCCAGCGATTTGGCTTTAATAAAAACTTATGATCTCATAAAAAAGGCTAGTACATTTCTGTACACAGCGTTTGGACAGTAACTAACTTAAAAGACAGCTGACTTATATTTTTAGTAGTTTTTCTTCCCTGGGGTGGCTTTTGCCTCAGTCTACCAGCCTTGGACAGAAAATGCATACAGAATTACATCACATATGGAAGAACAGAGCTGCTAACAGCACAAGCATTGGGTTTGAAATGTCCAAGTTCAACGGAACCATATGTCCCCACTGCGATTAGCAGTTCCTGGTGAAAAAGATTGAGCATCTGTGAAGAAGGCTGTGAGTTTTGAGCAAAGGATATTAAAGTTTTCATGGAATTTCTCTTAACAGCATTGGAATGCCCCTCAACCACAGTTAAATCTCCTCCCAGTGACTACTGTCTGACTGATTTGGGATTTTCTTGCATTCAACTTGAGATAAAAATGATTAGCACAATAATTGACTTCCACCATTGCTGGCTGTTTCTTGTCTGTAGTACACTTGGGATACTTTACAATGAATGTTATATAATCATATTATATTTCTTTGCTTTAAATACCCTTCAAATGTAAAGGAATTTCTTCAGACAGGTCAATTGGACTCATTCCACTGTCTCTTTGATTGCAAAAAGAGGAAAGAACATAACAAAAAATAAATCCTAGTTCTCTGTTATTCTACTGCAGTACCATAGAGGGGTACACCCTCTGATACCATCTGTCTTGGCTGTTAGCAGCAATACTACTCTTACAGAAGCACTGAAAGTCATTAGTAAGTAGTTAACTTTTGTAATCAAATAGATGTGGGAAAAGAAAAATATTAAAACCACAGGACTGGGAAATGAGGAGATAAGGACTCTCAGTCTCAGCTAACTTATGTTTCATCATACCTTATCTATGAAAAAGGGTGGAGTGGTAGTATTTTCCATGCCTTGCACTTTAAAACCTGTTCAAAGACATCTGTAAATTGTTTTGAGGTCTTTAGGAGATTCATTATATGCAACAATTATAATCTCCAATTTCACCTACTGTTTGAATCAAACCTGCCCTTACAAAAGAATATAGTTTATGCCACTTCCCATTCTGTTGTAAATGCTTCTCTATACAACCATTTCTTTTCACCCCAGAGGCGTGAGCATTTCAGTGGTGTGTGAAGGAATTATATATGCTAGCTTTTTCACATAAAAAGAACTTGGCTATTTATTATTGTGTTATCATTTAGGACAGTGCCAACCAATTTGGTTGTTGATTTTCAAATGTGAATATGAATAATAGCATCCATTCAATTAGTACTTTTTTATGTTGTAAAAATCTGCATTGAAAACAGCCTAGGTTTTGCTGCAACAACGCTTGGTCCCATATGGCTAGCATGTAACTGTGGTTATGGGGTAAGATAAAGCAGTGAAATAATCCAACTGCTTTCCGGAAGAGAGAGACATAAAGAGACTGTTTCATTTCTGAGCAAGATGGAAAGCAGAATACTGTCCCTATTTGTGGTTCAGCTTATGATATGTTCCTCCTTTTTGATCTTACTCATTGCAACAGCTCAAAATGCTGTATTGTTATTTTACTTCAGGAGTGGGCAAAGAAAATCAAGTGAGAAACGGTGGAAAAAAAGTGACTGGTACTCACAATTTCATTGTAAGTAGGGTCAGAGCTTTTTGGAGCTGTTCTTGTTTTCCTTTGACTGACCTCACAAGGATCCGGCAGAAGATAAAATTCTGCATGTGCACTTGGGGCAGAGCCATCTGGGAGGCGCTGAAAAACAAAGTGTTCATAAATATGAATGCCCATGTTCTAGCAAAGAAAACAAATAAAAAGTACCAAATTAAATGTGGACTTTAAGCAGACACAGAAACATGTTAGATTCTCAGTATTCTCTTGGCTAAACTGGAGTGCTAGTGGAGTAAACAACAGGAATTCTCAGAATTCAGCTTAACATTGAATCAGAAAAATAGAAATAAACTGATACAAGAACAAGATAAAATGGCCTATCTTTAATATTTTATGTTCTGATGGAAAAACCCTTAAGCCTCAGTCTACTTTAACTGTGCTTAATCTGATACAAAGTCTAGCCCTTCCGTTTTCCAGAGCAATGCACAGAAACTGGATTCTAGAGAGCAAGCTCCTATTGATTTTAACCCCTACATAACAGTGCTGATGCTGAGGAGAACTGATTGTTTCTAAGGGTGTTTCATAAAGCATATTACTATAGAAAAGCCAGGAGCTTTTCCTGCAGCAATATGGGCAGAATAGAATTCTTACAATAACAGTCTTTCAGATCTCTTCCCCCACTCAGCTGTAATTTTCAAGTTCAGGTTACTGAATGATATGCTGCCTCCCTGGCAGTGTTCAAGGCCAGGCTGGATGGGGCTTTGAGCAACCTCGTCTAGTGGGAAGTGCTCCTGCCCGTGGCAGAGGGGTTGAAACTAGATGATCTTTAAGGTCCCTTCCAATTCTGTGATTCTATTATTCTATTCCGGACATTCCATTTTATGGCAGCTACTTGAGGGCAGAGCCAATCTATTAACCAGGCTCAGCTATAAGCTAATGCTGGTGTATGGGGAGTTTTTTGATAGCTTCTGAACAGCTGTAAGGTCACTCCTAAAGCAACATTACAACGACTCAGAAACCACACTGGTAGTAGGAGAGGCTTTAAAAGAATCCAGAAGAAACATAATAATGAAAAACTGTGGAACATGTATTTTGCCAGCATATGTCACTTAGTGCTTAGCTTATAATTAATGAGAAACCTTTGTGTTGGTAACATAGTATACAATCAGAAAGCATAAAATAGGGCATATTAAATATCAGCAATTGAAATTGTATTATCAGCATTTTAGGCAGCGAGTTTACCTGAGAGCTCACAGGCAATCCAGTGACAGGATGCAAATGCAAATACGGGCAAAAAGAAGTGATCTTAAAATGTTTGGAACTGATGAACCCACAGCATTACGCAGGCAATTGCATTTATATTTCTCATTGTAATTTTACCTGGCACAGAATAAAGTAATTTCTTGGATTTTGATTATTCACAGTATGTGTCTAGAAAACTGTGGTTGTCTCCAGGCATTATCAACAACATACCCTTGTGACAGGAGAAACTGCTGGTGTCCTAGCAATAAATAACTTTTCTATGGGAAGAAAAACAGTGCTTGTGTGTGTGAGCAATCAGTTCTTGCACAACAAATCTCTGGGGTTTGTTATCTGAAATGATCCTTCAAGGCAGATGATATGGTCAACTGTTAAAGCTTATTACTGCTATTGTTAACACTATACAGCATCAAAGGATGCACTACTCAAATCATTACATACTGTCAGTGCCCTGTGAACTATTGATGTTATCCATACTAAGCTCCCCAAAGTCCATCTGATTTAAAATGTACATGGGCTTTAGATAGATGGCATTCAATGGTGAAAGTAAGAATGCCATTAAATTGCAGTGAAACTAACAGATATTTTCCTAGGACAGAATACGACAATGGTAATGCAAGATTTTTAATTTACATTGTCCATTTGAAGGTTCACCTCTATTGATGAGGAAAATACTAAAACTTCAACCAAGGGTTATAAATAACGGTAAATTGCACTCCCTTTTAAAAATCAGGAAGGAGAAATAAATGTAGCCTTAAATACAAGTCCAACCATCTTCATGGTAATCAAGCTCTTCCCTTCTCAATGAATAGGTACGTATCACCACAACTTGAAGGTCAACAGATTTCAGTTGTTTCAGACAAAAAAAAAGGAATGTGGTAAAGAAAAGGGGGTCGGGGGTGGGGGTGGGTGTCATTGTTGAAGAAGACCTTACCAGCTCAACTGCTGTGGCCCGGTACAAGCATGGAAATAGAGTACAGGGAGAGTCTTGCAATATATCAGGCTTTATAAATCATCCCAGCAGCGCTTTTCCTAACCAGACACTTTGTCAGAGCTAATTTCAAAAGCTGAGGTTAGCTGTAGCTACAAAGGGCACAGGGATGAGGAGCCCATCTGGTAAGCAATGGGCTACAGAGGTAACAGGATGGCTGCATCCATCTGGTTCTGCTCCCCTTTGAGCTGCCAGATAGGATGGCAAATCACAAGTGCTGTGCCCCACTGTGCACCTCAAGACAACAAAGGCACAGATCAAGGCATGGTTGTTTGCATCTGAAACAGGCTCAATCTGACATTCATCTTCCAGGGAAAGAATCCAAGCTGATTGCCTTGTGATTGTTTAACAGGATGGGGTATCCAGAAGCACATGCGATGAATAGGAAAAAAAAAACAGATAAAATTGTCAGTATGCCTTTGAGTTGTGCCTTCTTCCCTGCTAGCAATGCTGGCATATTATCTAGCCTTCAGCCAACTAACCTTTCTCCATTAGCCAACTCCTCCCAAAACCTAAGGCGGCACTTTGCAGTACTGCTGTGGCCATATGAAACACACAGAGAAAATGACTTCTTGCTATCCCTTTGAATGTAGCTAAATGCATAGAATCATAGAATAGTTAGGGTTGGAAAGGACCTTAAGATTATCTACTTACAACTCACCTGCCATGGGCAGGAACACCTCACACTAAATCATGTCACCCAAGGCTTCATCCAACCTGTCCTTGAACACTGCCAGGGATGGAGCATTCACAACCTCCCTGGGCAACCCATTCCAGTGCCTCACCACCATTACTGTAAAGAACTTCCTTATATCCAATCTAAACTTCCCCTGTTTAAGTTTTAACCTGTTACCCCTTGTCCTATCACTACAGTCGCTAGCAAAGAGTCCCTCTCCAGTATCCCTGTAGGTCCCCTTCAGATACTGGAAGGCTGCTAGGAGGTCTCCACACAGCCTTCTCTTCTCCAGGCTGAACAGCCCCAACTTTCTCAGCCTATCTTCATACGGGAGGTGCTCCAGTCCCCTGATCATCGTCATGGCCCTCCTCTGGACTTGTCCCAACAGTTCCATGTCCTTTTTATGTTGAGGACACCAGAACTGTACACAATACTCCAAGTGAGATCTCACAAGGGCAGGATCACCTCCTTCGACCTGCTGGTCACGATCCTTTTGATGCAGCCCAGGATACAGTTGGCTTTCTGGGCTGCAAGCGCACACTGAAGCCGGCTCATGTTCATTTTCTCATTGACCAGCACCCCCAAGTCCTTCTCTGCAGGGCTGCTCTGAATCTCTTCTCTGCCCAGCCTGCAGCTGTGCCTGGGATTGCTCCGACCCAGGTGTAGGACCTTGCACTTGGCATGGTTAAACTTCATGAGGTTGGCATCAGCCCACCTCATAAGCGTGTCAAGGTCCCTCTGGATGGCATTCCTTCCCTCCAGCGTATCAACCGAACCACACAGCTTGGTGTCATCGGCAAACTTGCTGAGGGTGCACTCAATCCCACTGTCCATGGCACCGACAAAGATGTTGAAAGAGGTGAGTGAGAGGAGAGGGTCAAGACAGAAAATAAATAAAGAGATTATTTCAGTGAGTCAGAGAGAAAACTCAAGGCAGAGCAGTTGTTCTGGGATACTTCAGCACTAAAACAAAGACACTTTTCACGAATAGTAGTAATCAGCAGCCAGACTGTTAGAGGCAATTTAAACTGCAGCCACCTGAATTCCAACTAGAGATCTTAGTTTTGCTTGCTGGGTTGTTTGGCCTTTTTTCTCCCCTGCTTTACAGATAACATTTTTCCACTTCATCTTCCCTTGACAAGGCAAACAGGCCACTCTAAATTCCACAACTGCCCCAGATCTCCACCTGCAGTGCCACTGTTATGCCATCGAGTGGTAAAAAGCTTCAGCTAAGCACTCTTCAGGATAGATTGCATCTTCCACTTCTCAACTGCCCTTCCCTCATTCTTCATATGACACAATATATCTAGCAAGGGTGTCTGTTTAAAAGCTTCTGTCCCACTACACACCATTCAAAACTACAAGCAGGTATAAATCAGCCATGGCTTTACAAGAGCAGAGTGTGGATAGCTTGTATGATGAATGTGCATGCCTTCTCTTCCGATTGGTACAATAGTTGCATCTTTTCTTGTGAAGAGCCTGCTTCACTGAAGGATTTCCTGAGATAAGATTTGCAATGGCTGTGGAAGGAGCTGTACTTTTTTAGACCCTTACCTAGCAGGGACAAAGAGGGATCTTAGCAGTTTGACAATCATAGTGCAAAAACAAGGCTGGGATTAACATGGCAGAAGTTATCTTTTTAAATCTAAACAAGGTGAAATCTGAAGTAAACTGTTTTATTAAGGCAGCTAACAAGGCAGGCAAAAATCCCAAGCTTTTGGACAAACTAGACTTTTCTCAGGCTTTCATATATGAGTTGAGCATTGAAATAAAGGAGAATGGAGGATAAAGGAGAATGGAGAAAACATAATTTCTTTTTGTTCTAAAGATTATGTCTTCTGTCATATTACAGTGTCACATTTAGTGAACAAAACCCTTGGATTATCTTTTGCTTCTAACTCAATCTGCATTGCACATTTGTAAACTTACGTAAACATGAAGAATACCTGACCAAAATGCCAGTCTCATTTGCACCAAAGAATATCTGTTCTGGTGCATCCATTATACACATGGACTAAAGATTTCTAGTGGGCTTATGAGTAACTCTGAAATCCAGTAAAAACCTCTCTTGCTGTTATTAGTGGCTCAGAAATTACTGATTTCTGTTCACAGTCCAGGCCAGAAGAAAATCAAAGGGTACCTTGGGAATGCCATTTCGCATTTTAACTCCTCTGCAAAACCTTTATAGCTTGAATGGACTTGTGATCAAGAAAACAG